TAACCCCCCCCCCGGTCGACGTTTTTGGGAGGTGAGTGTCCGGCACTACCACCTTCACTTTTGGCCGGCTAGTAGTTGCTGGAACCACCTTCACTTTTGGAGGGCCCGGCTCTCCACCTATCGCACCTCTGCATGTGATCTCTAGCGGATTCCCAGGGAATCACCCCTTTTTCCTCGTCTATCCTTCCGGGAGTCGACGAAAAAGCGTAAAGTTCTCTGAGGATCTACTATGGTAGTGCCAAAATTTTCGATAAAACAAATAGAATGTACAGGTTGTGAGTTTCTTCATGACCTCAGCCGCGAATAGCGGCTCATCAAAGATTTCGATATCCTGAGATTTCACTAATTTCTACTATAGACATGTTTAGCAAAGCCGTGGTATATCCCCTGTGCAATTTTACAGCATATTCATCGAGCTTATAGAAAGATGTGACTCTGGAAATGTGAGGTGGTCCTCTGGGAATCACTTAGAAGATCACATGAAACAGTGAAAAGCTCGGTTTGTTTGAAAATATCGTCACCCAATATACACAGATAATAAGGTATGAGAACCTTTTAAGACAGATAAAATAAAAATAGTACAGATACCTAGAGTAGTGAGATAAGACACGTCCCCTCTCAGATTCCCTTCCCTCCCCTGCGGGGATGTACGTGCATAGATCTAATGCATCACCTCGTATTAACTATGTCATTATCTGGTTGCCGTAGAAGCTCGCATACGCTATCGGTGACAAATTCATTACCATTTATCTTGTCTGGAAAAGCGTTAGTTCACTTGTCGAAATCTGTGTGCGCCTGAGCTGTTCATACTGTGCTTTGCTCTTCTATCTTTGGCATACGTTTTTGCACTGCATCCTTTTCGCCTCATTATGCTTTGGCCGGACCATATCTTGTTACTCTCCACGCATCAGCATATCTCACATCAGTTTGCATATGGGGTGTTCGTCCCGCTACCTGTTGTTTTGTAGCTTAGTTCTTTCTCGTTTCCAACTTTGACTCTGTTTTCCATCGATCACGAAAATAAGGCGTTGCTGACTCCAATCATTATCCTCTTCATTGTCAAAGATATCTGGCAAATTAACTCATTTTGTGATATCGAGTTTTGTTTTGAAGTGAAGCGGATAAGAGGATAAGTATAGCGGTGCCTTATGCGAAGAGAACTCGAAAAAAATCACGCTGCGAATGAACTTCCGCCAATGCGATTGGCATGGCCCTTGAACATGCGAAATAGTTCTAAACAAGACAGATCGCAATGAAGAAACAGGCCACCGACATATCCAAGCTTCTTGCGGCAAGTGAAATAATGACGACAATGAATACAAAGGGATGTACGAGAGTCGAACTTCACATGAACGAAAATCAAGAAGAGGGTTGGAGTGACTTTATGAAATAGCATGTGCCAGCCTCCAACCGAGTGCCGTACACGGTGCGCTGAACTCTCCGCCCCCTGGTTAGTTAGCATAGGAATGCGTTGCAGTTATTGGAGATGTTCTATAATATTAGATCATCATTCGGAAAGTTTTTTCGCTTTTTGCGCCTTTGATGTTGGTACCATATTTTGAGAGAGTGCCAGAGGGCTGATAGGGGTCGCTATGTATGGATCTGTAGAGAAAATCTAGTTTCTGAGGATCCCACCGAAGTTGCAGAAAACGCTTTGTAGGAAGACTCTAAATTCGACATATGAAAACGCGATTTTTGAATAATTGTACCTCTAAGTTTCAATTTGAGTGTAAGACCACCTTGAGGAAACCATCATTGTGCGCATGCATTTGCCAAGACCACGTCTTTCTTGAGATAGGTTCAAGTTTACTTCATAAAGTGATCTAGAGAAGTGAAAGCTAATATTCTGCAGTGTCCTGGAAGGTGTTCCTGCCATATAAACGAGCATCTCGAGGGTCTTTCAAAAAAATTGCAAATATAGCTGCGTAAAATTATCAGCTGGCTTTGAAGTGTCATGTAGCCCCATTAGAAGCCGCCTTCGCTAAAGCTGCAATACCGAAAAGTTTCAGTGGCATGTACCCCAAAAACTGTCGCACTCGCAGATTGAGGGCGCGTTGACTCTGCTTTCGTTGATGGAGCAGTCCTTTTTTAGCCTGGGTTATTGATTACAGCGAAAAAAATGGCCAAGTGCGGTATAAGAAGCGACATTGTGGTAAATCATTTGGAATAAGCATTGGAAGCATGGCCAGAACATTCACTCATTCCAAAAGGTTAATGTACTCAAATCCTGCTGGTCTTGCAGCTATAAACTTGCTAGGATACGATTGTACTGTAAGAGCAGAGTAGTGTGATATCGCTCTGAAGACCGTTTGTCAAAATTTAAAAACTGAGCAGACTTGCACGTATAAGCTATGAGAGGTGCCATCCACGCCCATGACTCCGCCAAACCACATGTAAGAAGGTGGCTCTTACAAAAGGGGTTGACTACACACCGAGGTTGCTGTTTATTTTTCCAACTCTTTAGACCTTCCTTTACCAATCACCAAGTTTTCTCATTCCTCGGTGACTATCAAAAAATAATAGGACCTAACAAAGATTAGCTAGTCGAAAACGCATTTTTAGGCTTTATTGACTCCCCTGACAAGAGAAGGATACTTGGTAACCGTGCCCTTTTGCAATGAGATGTATGCCAATAAATGCGCCTTGAAGCGCTGATTTCAAATCTATGTTCATTATCTGCTGTGCCACTCTCTGAACGAAATTATGGACTTTTTTCCTTATTGATTTCACAAGATTTAGGCAATCGGAATCGTCATTATCCTGGCTTTTTAGACTCTGATTTATCGGAGACAGTTTTTCCGAGCTTAATGTGAAGCTTTACTTTATTTGGGCGCTCTTTTGTAGTGCGTAAACGAACATGTTAACGATATTGGTGAATCTTGCATCAAAATCAGCGCAAATTTTTGTGACAAGAAATGTTCATAACTTCTTTCGGAAGAGCGCACAGCAGATACCGAAAATAGATTTGGAATCAGCGCTTTATGATGCATTCAACAGTGTACGTTCCATTTCAAAAGGCCACGGTCACCAAGTATCCTTTCCTCGTGAGATTATTTCGCAACCAAAAAGTACAAGGGGACCACAAGTGTTACCAGAAATTTGCTGAACAATGCAATTTATTTGATGGAAAAATGTTGGATGTGGGAAAAACTGTGCTCGTTTGTACTTGAAGGCGCGAAAACGAAAAAACTTTCCGATGACCTAATAGTTCACTCATGCTTCTTCTTTTAGAGCAATTCAGAATTTATAGAGTAGATTGCAAAAATTCTATGAATATAAAGAAACAGCTGACTTCAATATTTTTCTTTTGCCATACAGGTTGTTATCGGTGACAGTTTATTGCCTAACGTTTCGGCACATTGACACGAAATTTGACATAAAAAACAGCTTTCACATCATTTTTCGTTCTGAACTAGATCGCAAACTTTTTCCGATCTGTATCTATTTTTTCCTAGAAGATTGGTACAGAGTGATTATTTTCATTGAAACTCTGAGAAAAATTTCTGAAAATGCTTGAAAAACTGTTCCAGTTCACGTTATTACATTTATCACTATGTTAAATGTTCTATTCTTGATGAACACTCTAGACGTTTTCTTCAAAAGGAAGTCAACATTACTAAAATCACTACTATTGCCAAACAGTTTCTCGTTTATCAAAAGAGTAAGTTTTACAACAATAATCATAGCCGAACAGTTCAGTTTCAGTAAAATTTAAAAAAATACGAGTGTGTGATTGCGCTAGTAGTGACGGCAAGGGCTTGAAGTGTGGGACGAATGCCGCTGAAAGGCTGTTTACTGAAATCCAGTGGCGCTTCTACCTCCCTCCCCCCCCGTCGACGTTTTTAGGCAGGGGGTTCCGCTTACCACTTTTACTTTTGGCGTACAATCGAGTACATTTTCAGCTTAATATAGTGTGCTTGCATTGCAGGTGAAATGCGGTAATTTGCGCGTGAACAATTAGCAACGCCAATAACACCGGCATTTTGCGCGCGCTTGGCCGACGTCAAAGGCGTAGCTATTTGTCCACACGCGAAGTTTACCGAATTTTACCTGCAGTCCAAGCACACTATATCAAAGGCAGTGGCTCGGCAAAATCGAACATCCCGAGATTTTTGTACGGGAGATTGCTTGCACCCAAGCATGAGAACGGGGCAGGTGCGAGCGCACAGCATGCTGCCCCTGCCTAAAAATTTGCCCCTAAACCCGTGCGCGCAAGCCATTACACGCGCTCGGACGATCTTGCGATATCCCTCATCCCGTCAGAGGTGGCATGCCGCAATGCGAGTAGAGGACTATATGTCTCCGAAAGGGGGCGGCCCCGCGGTCATTTGCAACAAATACGCATTCTTGCACATACATGGAAGTGCGTTTTCGCAAGAAGTCCGCGTACCCATCCAGATTCGGCGATATACAGTCCTCCACTCCCGCAATGCTACAAACATGAGGGTACACAACGACTCTACGTCTTTAACCATGACGGAAAGCGTTCCACTCGTTCAAATTCAAAATGAGGGGCAGTGGATTTTTGGATCAGCGCGTCGAATTGTAAGCGAAAAGATCACTGGTCGAGGATTTGCCGAACCACTGCCTTTGAGCGGAAAACCTATTCGACTGTAGCTGGGACCATCCTCACTTGTGGAAGACCCGAATCACCCTTCGCACCTCTGGTGAGAATGCTCAGGTGGCACGATCGACACAAGAGCGGTGAAGTAACGCGACCTCAATCAGTGTAAGAGCCAGCACTCCTGACACATTGTCACTTATGGCACCGAGTCACCCATCTAATCCCGCCGTGCCCTCCTGTTCTTCCACCGGAAACTAGCAGCAGATATGTTCATGTGGCACAAAATTTGAGCGCATAACGTGCGCGGTGTGCCTTCTGACGTGGAGCTGCCAAAGCGTATGGGCGTGATCCCGAAGAAAACTTAGCATAATCGCCGTTGCAGATTCAGAAAAAATTGCATTTATACAAAGCGACTTGTAATGGGAACTGAATTTAGTTGGCGCATACGCCTACGCTGTAGGACCAGGAACTTCTACGCTGAGTTTGGGACCGTTCGAGCTAACTCGAACATTTGCAATCGACTTTTGCTACTACGCCGCCAGTTATCGCAGTAAACTAGTGGTCTACATCACCAGAAGTGCTCAAAACGACAGGACAAGGTAATCCAGATGATGCTCCTTGAGTGCATATATATTTGAGAATGCTGCCCTCTTAAACTTCTCTAGTGATTAAGGATCTATAGTAGTGGCGATGTACGTGGCGATGGACACCACTGGATTTGCGAGAAAGTCTACCTTCATACTGGAACCTATGAATCCGTAAGCAACGCTTTGCAGACAATTTCTTCCGAAAGAATCACATTCAGATTGAATTCTCCGCAGAAGGATTAAGAAACGAGTACTCTTACGTTGGCCTGGATCAGATCGATATTTACGACCCAAAACTAGGAAAATCGGCTTGTGAGAAGAGAACCAAGAAAAACGAAGAGTCCATAGTGCCTTTGCTGTCTGATAGAACATAGCGGAACCGTCAGTCGACCTAAAGTACCAATATATACGTGCGCCTTCCGGTTTTTTAGAAGCCTTTAGACCGTACATAATTCTTTTCCGCTTTTGGGCGCTATACTCTCCAAACAACTGAAACAGAGCAAAAACTATCTGTTCACAATCCTCCTTCACTGAATAATTTATCTTTGCATAACACTGGGAAAGACGAGCTCCTGCTGTCAGACCAGAGAAGCACAGGGAAACATTGGCAATATTTGTAAGGACAATAGCTTATCATAAAACATGCTGATTATAAAGTATAATCGAAATTTTCATCCGTCTATCAGGGATTGTGATAAATCATTTCACGACTAGAATGGCAGAGTACACGAACCACACGAAATGGGGTAATAAGGTCAAAGACATGGGCATCAGTCGGACGTAGAGAGAACAATCATAATCCTCAAATAGTAAGCTCTGGCTCATGTGATTATCCGATGACTAAAGTTTTCAACATATGACTGCGTTTGCAGTACTAAAGGGCATGTACGATACATTAGCGAATTATCGATGAGGAGTAAACGCTCGGAAACATAGGAAGTCCAAAGATGGACTCAAAATCTGAACTTCACCAATGGTAGCAGAAATGAAGACAACGTCACCGCGGTGTACGGCTAAATCCAAAGACTTTTCCTTAAAATGGGCACTTCCGGAGATCACTACGACTATAGAGCTGGCTCTTTCGGCGGAGAAATGCGTAGCATTCCCCTAAAAAGGAGAAAATGAGGAATAATTCAACTACGCGAGGGTCACTATCGTTTAGATTATGTTAATCATTCCAAACACAAAAGGAAGAGCTTTTACCGAAAATCAGCCTAACCCCCTCAGTGTTCACTTTCTAAAGGAAACATACATACCTTTACAGACTGCACAGCAAACTCGGGTACAGGAGGAGCGTACAAATCAACACCAGAAAAAACTTCTCTATGAGCAAAGATTGGTGGCCCACTCATAGCATAAGTAAGATTAGCACACAGAGTCTGGATATCCTTGAATTTAGGAGTCAAACCTGCTCGAATTGTATTGTCTGAGCAGGCCATACACTCTATACAATCTGCAAATCGACCTTTCAATAAAGACAAGTTGAGGAGTATGACACGGTGCATTATACCTCCGGACAAGTAGGCATGCGGCTGATTAGGGCCCAAAAAGGAGGCTTGACCAGGCTTCAGAATGAAATGATTGAGCAAAAGAGGTGCGAAAACGCCAACGTCACCTACAGACAAACTTGCGATAGCCATGATATTTACCGTATATCGAGAAAACAACGAACCTCCGGGAAATTCATGATCAAGCCTTACCATCAAATCGTTAAGTTCGCTTGGCTCTAAATATGACAACATGAACAAAATAACAAATTCCCTTCAAAAGCTAATTACAAACAAGGAAGAAAGCGTTAAAAAGCCAAGACCGTTAGCAAGTGATGGTAGCAAACTAACCATCTTTGATACGGGTTATGAACTTCCGAACGGCATCAGCAAGCTGCTCAGGAGTAGAACTCCAGATTCTGGTAAAAATGTTCTTCAAAGCTGCCTTGGCAGCTGCATCATCTCCTAATAAGTTCTCAAGCTCTCCACTTCCTCCAGCCAGGGAAAGAACCTCCGGAGCGCCTGAGAAAACTATGCATATGATTCTTCGAACGACATGGCCAGAGAAATCGGAATAACCTAATACCTTTCAGATTTTGGTAGATTTCCTTAGCTGGACGGAATCCACATAACAGTTCAAAATTTGTGAGAGCTATAGCCATTTCTGGTTTATGGTTTGGATCAGGATAGTGGATAGGATCATTTTTATGCAGTATAGCAGCCTCTTCCTGAAAGTCAAGTCAACGCCGACAGAATTCAAGACGACGCACATGTGTTTTTACGTTAGAAAAAAGTTAAAAAGCATTTTTATACAGATGAATTGGCAAAGATTCTAATAAATGAAAGCAAACTGATAAATCAACTGAGGATCCATCGCAAACGCATACCTTCGTTGGATGACTTTGTACAGATAACGCCTTATTCACAGACAACACCTTGAATAAGAACTGGAGCGTTCCTGAAGGGACTGATGTAAGATAAAGTTGCCAGATACGCTGACTCACCCCGTTCATGCTCTCCTACAAGCTCTGGGTGATTAGTGATGCGATTTGCCAGATCCTCAAGAGTTTCAGCTATTTTTGCAGGTCCGTTGGGGTGAACCCCCATCCAGAACTGAAAGTAATAGCGTCGGTATACCGCAATTAACTTTACCTTATCACTTCTACCTCAGCATATGGCTTCTGCTCATCGACGCAATCTGCATGATGACCATCTTTAACTAAAGCAGCAACTGTGCTGCAACTACCAGGCTTACCCCAACTGTAATTTTGAACGGCGCAAATCAATTTGTACATCGCTAAAACTCAGAAGTTAAGATATTTGAATGCCAAATCTTGCAAGATAATTGACTTGGATGAATAAAAAAAGTTTCCAGGACGTCACAAATGTGCACTTGATATCTCACTGATACAGTGTAAAGGAAAATAAAGGAACAAGCGAGCGGATGATGCATACATAGGTATTTAGTCACTGACAGATAAGACCAGACCAGTAAAATACGAGGCGAAAATGGAAGCCTTAAAAGAAAAGCCTCCCTATCGCTTGTGGTTCGCTTTTGCATGTGGAATTCGTCTATTGGAGGCTGAAGATAGTCAGAACCAAGACTCATACACAAACGAAGTGATTACAATTACATTCAACCAAGCTATTAATACCTAGGATAGAGCTGCATAGGCAGCAATTTTTGTTTCCTACACTCCTATATCACTTTGACGACTCTTAAAATGAAATTGTGATTATCTTTAGAATTTACTTACCCTAAACGTTGTGTGTAGCAAGTATTGTCATATCGAGCGTTCCTGTGATAACTGCTATGAAATCAGAAAAAGGATATATGTTGTGGAAGACGCAATTATAGCAGAGATTTACACTTTGGTCAACTATGCAGACACTGCTTGAGATTTGATTGAAACCTTTGCTACACATGTAAGAACCAGCCTTTTCCATCAGGAATTATTGCAAATAAATAATACCACTAATACTTGTCAATTGTTCAGTCCTTATCGTAAACACACTGACACCAAAACCAGAAAAAGAGTAGTCGGAACCCGTATTAAGTTGTTCTATCTAGATATGCTGATGAATGCAATGTCGATATGAAACAACCTCAAAAGCGAACACTTTTTTTCTATTAAAGTGTGCATAGCACGTTTGCCGCACCTCCTCTCCAGCAGAGGCAAGGATTTCGGGAAAATCTTGCCAGTATAGCATCATTTTTCCAAACTATAAAATTTCTTGGACCCGCTCGGACATTTGCTGCAAAATTCTTGCATATTATGTCCTAAGATCCGCATTCAAGCTTATATTAATTACCTTTGGGAAGATGGACTACTGATCGCGGTCCGCGAACGAAGTCTTCAGTGCACAACATTGCAGTTACAGTATGTTTAATTGCACGGCGACATTTTTTTATTTTCAGTTTCTAGTGTTTTTGCAAACAGAATAAGCTGCAGTGCGTTCAAAGCAAAAGATTTCTCCCCTAACACAAGAAAAAAATTTCTTGAAGTTGTCGATAAGAAGTCTGAAGTTTTTCTGCTTTCGGTCAAGTGAATGGTGATTTCCCTACGTGCTAGCCATTTGCACTAGTTTGTCATTCATTATATAACGTCTGGTCATGAATTATGACTTGTGGAGCACTTTCTTGAGTCAGTTTCTCGACTCAACAGTTCTTTTTTGCTACCTATTTACTATGATTGCTCATGATGTCTTTCCACTAAGGAACTAAGATATGTATGTTGTAACACAGACTTAGCATGCTACCAATATTTTCCACAATTAAGAAGAAAACGGCTTTTCAATCTTATAAAAGAAACGATTTCGGACGGAATTATCAGTGCGAAGAGAAGAAACGTTTCGCGAATATTACAGACAGTGTTCGATAGAATAAAACTCGTAGTTTGGGCAAGAGTAATTCAAGCCTATTTCATCTTCTTTAATCTGCATGATTCCTAAAAGCAAAACCACTGAAAGCGAAAAATGGGGCAGCTGGTTTTTTAGACTCCTAATTATATTAGGTTGTCCCGAAAGTTTTGTCGGTTTCTTTCATCGCTCACTAAAACTCACAGAACATCAGTCCATGAGCGATGTAGGCACCATTTGATTCAGATTTTCTTCCCCTTTCTTACAGCTATACTTGCACACTGATCTACCCTGTCTTTGCAATGCTGTCGCCATGACTTTTTGAGCAGCTCAATGTAACGCCAAACCTTTCCTAAATTTTGAGAATTTTTATCCTGACATTTTTGAAGAGCGCTGGTAATTGTTATGTAGGGCAAACCTTTGGCTACATTACCTATTTCAGATTACATGGGACAATTTTATCAAGTCCTTATTATTTATTCGAGAAAACCGCGGCTTCGTTTAACATGCAAAAGTACCGAAATTCCAAAAAACTGATTTTTCAAAGCAAATCAAACTTAGCTAGGTAAACAGGCTAGGCTAGCATAACTAATGTTTAGTAACAAATAAAATTCGATTTGTAAAAACTTTAAAAGTTTTCATGTTTTTGCTGCAGTTGCGGGTCTTATGACTTTGTCAAAAATCGAGACCTCCGAAGAAATGATTTTTTGGAGCTAAAAGCAGCAGATTGAGGGAATCTAAAAATATTACCGTATAGCCCGAGAATTGCTCTATTTGAGCCATACTTAGACCATTCCGAAACTTTGGATTGAAATTTTTAAAAATTAGCATAACTTTGACCAGATAGAGTTTACGAGAATTTTGGCAATTATCAAACATACAAACTTGTGGTTCGAAAATATATGCATAAGAAAGAGAAGGGAAAGCTGCATCGAATGCATGTTCGAACTCATTCAAGTCTTCATTGTACGCGATTTCATGGTCGTTTGAAGAAACCGATAAAACTTTCGGAACAACCTAATACGAGGTGTCCCAAAAGTAAGTACACAATTCTCCACGTTCGACTTTCAGTGAATCTTGGCATTACGATATGCTTGTTTCTAGGTGTTAAGCCTCCACCAAGATTGTTACAACTTTTATTTCGGCTGACGTTTCGGCCAACTCGCCTTCGTCGGAGCCTGTAAGTGAGGAACAAATGAGATTTATCTTCCCAAACGTCTCATCAAATGCAAGGAACAGACAAAAGTTAGCTGGGAACGGAAACGATGCTGCCTAGGATTAACAGCTGTTAGGCTGTTAATCCTAGGCAGCATCGTTTCCGTTTCCAGCTAACTTTTGTCTGTTCCTTGCATTTGATGAGACGTTTGGGAGGATAAATCTCATTTGTTCCTCACTTACAGGCTCCGACGAAGGCGAGTTGGCCGAAACGTCAGCCGAAATAAAAGTTGTAACAATCTTGGTGGAGGCTTAACACCTAGAAACAAGCATATAGTAAGTACACACTTTTCAATCGTCGATATCTCTCTTCCCAATGGGTCTTTTTTACCACTTAAGTACCATTCGGTAGAGGAGGCTTTAACTTAGATTTGCAGTATCGATCGACTCACCGATAGTTCTTCGTTACTGTAGGATTTTGGTAAGAATTTCTAGCCTGTGGAACCATTGTGAACTAAACCATTTGACAAAATTTTTTTCAAAAAATCTGAAAATCGTGTACTGGGTTTTCGCGCACGCTGGTTCCACCACACAAATTTTTACGAGTGTTTTGAGCTTTTTTGACTGTGTAATCACATTTCTGACAAATACTGGGAATTCGGTCATCACGGTTTACCTGGGATAAACTTGGAAAGAAGCATCGCAGTAAATTGTAAATTTTATATTTGGCGGCTTCCATTGCCATAGAATTAGAGTTTTTGGCTTGTTTGGTTTCGTTTCAAGGCAGAATATGGCTTCCAATGGTCTAAAATCCTTGTCGAAGTTCCTACAGTAATCCTACAGTAACGAAGTGCGATTGGTGATTTGCTCGATACTGCAAATCTAAGTTGAAGCCTCCTCTACATAATAGTACATGAATGGCAGGAAAAGACACAGTGGTAAGAGAGATATTAACGATCGGAAAGTGTGTACTTACTTTGGACACCCTGTATATTAGAACATTACGAAAGTCGTTTCGCTTCGAGGCGTAATATACAGCAGAAAAATGATCCTCGAAGCAGATTTTCATCATCTTTTGAATGGTAATCATCCTCTTCCAGTTCAACTAACGAACTCTCAAATGACAAAAAAACTGCGACCCATGGTTTTGCCACAAGGCTATTTTCAAAAATTTCTGTACCTACCCCATAAAAGTCTAAGTAACGGGTAAATAGAGCAAACACTACAAGATATGAAAACATTTTTTCTTTCCTAAGTTTTCTTTTCAAAATTTTAAGTATTGATGATATTGATGATGATAATAAATGTAAATTTTTGATGATATCAGATTCTATGTTTGGTTAGTTTGAACCTCAAAAACACCAACCAGCAAGCAATTTGGGTGTCATTTGATGCAGCTTTTCCTTCTCTTTCTATGTTTGTGTGCTTCTCGATTTATAAAGATCTCGATGGTAAAAACCTCATAATTAACGCTCCCCGGGGTATACGCGGAAAATTCAAGGTTGGTATTTCGAATCTGTAAACGCTTGTTTGCTTTGCATAATAAATGTTCGATCATAATCCACCTCATAGGTGCGATAAGGTGAGAATGACCTCTCCAGGGTGAAGGGGGTCACGGTGGTCGCAGCCCCTCCAGGGTGAAGGGGGTCAGAGGGGGTGGGGGGGGGGGGTTGGGGGGGGGAGAGTGCGTGTGTGAATGTGGGTGTGCAATTACACACAACGCGCCGCCAGGAACGGCATCGTTCCTTTCACAACCTCATTTTATGAGGACCGATTTTATAGGACTGAAAAAGTGAGTGTGGTCAAAATTATTGGATGGTACACAAGTGCAAAACTGAGGTTTTTGCAGGCGTAATGTTCGAGAAGGAAAGGTTATACAACGCTTGTCACTTGCTTCATACGAATATGAGATGAAGGTCCGGACCGACCGATGACTGTATTCTTGTCTTAATGTTGCCGTTTCATGCTTTGTAATTTAATGAAAATATTGAAAGATGACGACTATCAACTATTGTGAGGCCATCAGAAGTTGTAATAGAAAGTGGTTCTGAGAAGTGTGATGATAGGAAGTATCAAAAATTATGAATGATGAAGCACGTAGAAAGAAGTAAATTATTGTCTGCCCAGGAAACTCTGAAAGATACAGTAAAATTATTGCATGTATAAATGGCCATTCTTGGTAAATGTGCACGTAAATGGTAAGAAGGAAACACACCGGAGCAGGATTGGAACCTTCTCGTTATCTTCTAAAAAAGGCATTGGATGACAATGGAAGAAACAA